CCATCACTTCGACACGAAGTCGTTGCCTTAGCCCATCACGTAGCTGGTCACGGGTCGGTTAAATCCACTCTAGACGTTCTGCGTCGCTGTGTGTGGTTCCCTCGTATGAACGCTTACGTTGATAGGGCCTATCAGGCCTGTTCTACCTGCTGGGAGAGCCGAAAGCACGAGCTGATTGCTAGCAGTGCTAATCCAAGGTCTACACCTACAGTCCGTTTGGAGATAGTCTACTCTGACTTTGCTCATCCTCCTACGTCATGTGGAAAGCCCAGTCGTAAGGAATTGACGAGCTTTGTCATCTTCGTCTGTGCAGCCTCTGGATTCACAGTCGCGGTGCCTACCTGTGGTGAGGATGCTCTATCTCTCTCTATGGCATTCATTACCTCATGGGTTCCCATTTGTGGTGTACCTCGATGTCTATTCACAGATGGAGGTCCCGCATATAGGGCACGTTTAACCGAGCTGCTAACCTCAGCTTTAGGTATAAACCATTCCTTCTCTCTACCGGCTAACCCTCAGTCTAATGGATTGAGTGAGAGAACAGTGGGACGCCTGAAGTCATTGATGGAGAAACTACCAGCTTCGTTGCCGTGGGATTGTGCCCTACACCTCAGTTGTTACTATCACAACCACTGTGGTCCGTCACCTACCCCTTCTGACTGTGCACTCGGTCTGTCTCGTGGTCCGATCCGCTTATTTACCGATGAGATCGAGGAGTATCCCCATGAGTCTATCGAAGAGCTATGTCAATCTTACCTCGATGAGAAGGGCTACCTTCGGTTCGAACGAGCATGCGCTAATGCTAATATTCTACAAACCTCTGGTGCTACTGAGCTACTAAAACCAGGTACCAAAATTACGTGGAAGAAGAATTTGGAGATTCGTGAAGCCGTCGTATGTACTCCTCCTTCTGGTTTACAACCGTCCGGTTATGACTCTGACTCCCCTCAATTACATGGTTACGCTTATCTAGATCCCAACTTCCGTACTTGCTGGATAAAGTATCTAGACAACGACAACGAGGAGGTGAAGAGAGTCCCTATATCTCAGATATCACTGAGACGGGAAGATATCAACTTCGATGATCAACCACTACACTCGTTACCAGGGTCTATTGGTGGTCTCCGTAAGGATGAGTTCATCGTGGTGAATGTCGGTGCTGATCCAGCTTCATCGATCTATGTACTGGCAAAAATTCTGGCTGTTGGCCCTACCTGGGTTGACATTATTGTTCATGACCTTTGTTCGGGTAAGTTCAAGCCGTTGTATACGGATCGTAACCGTAGCCGATTCCAGTTTACTTCTGGAGCGGGTTTTTCTCCGGATAGACGTCGAGTGAGTCTTTCCCAAGTTGAGAGTGATAGCTTCGCTTTGACTAAAGCAGGCAGAGTTCCTGTTGCAGTGGAGCGTTCATTATCTGCGAGAGGAATCAGTACGGTTCCGGGCGGCACTTGTTGATACCATCCGTCTTGAACGTTATCGATTATTAAGACGAGCGCTTTTTACGATCACAATTCGCTATGTTCCGTTCATTGTGCTCGCGTCATAGTCGTATAGTCCACCTATTATCAGTCCGTCCTATACGATATCCATGTTAGTTGTCATTCCATTAACTCGGTT